GCGCCCCGCCCACCCACGCCACGCTGTTCTCGTGCGCCGGCGCAGAGTGGAACTTGAACTGCAGCTCCTGCAGCCGCTCTCTGCAACACGTCGCACACGACCGTTCGAGAGTGAAGCGTTTCAGTTAGAAAAGTAAGAGTCGCGGCGGAACGTACTTGTAGGGCGGCAGCTTGGCGAGGTGGCGCAGCTCCTGGGCGAGGCGCGCGCGCAGGCCCGGCAGCGCGGCGCCGCCCCCTGTCACCAGCACGGAGGCGGCCAGCGCTCGCCGCGCGTCTATCGGGCACTGCGCGATGCACTGCAGCACCATGTCGGGCAGGGAGGCGAGCTCCTCGTCCCGCGCGAACAGCGGCTCCGCGGACAGCGCGCGCGCTCGCCGCGACACCACCGCGTCGGCCCCGCGCCGCGCCTCCCGCACCTCCGCGGGCACGCCGCGCGCCGCCCACTGCAGCGCCGCCTCGCGTCCCGGCACGAAGCACGCGCGCACTGCATCACGATACCACTACTTTCACCGATGACTCTGTCGCAGTTTGCGCACAGACCGGCTGATGACAATCGTATCCACCTTTAATGTCATCGAGGACGTCGTCGGGCAAGTTGAGCGCGCGGCCGTTGTCCTCGTCCAGCAGACGCGCCAGCTCCGCGCTGACCGCCCGCGCGCCCAGCGGCTGGGACTGCAGCGCGCGCAGCACCGGGCACCCGTGCACCACTGCACACATGTATGTTGTTGGTGGGGGTCATGGTGTGTCAGTGAGGCAGAGTGTGCGGCGGGCAGTACCTGCAGTGACCTCCGCGTCGCGCGCTCCTATGGAGACGACGAGCACGACGGGCGCGGCCAGCGTGAGCGCGCTCGCCCGCCCACTGTCCACCCACAGCGCGCCCGACACCTGCGCACGTATGCACGTCTCGTAAACAATATATTTCTCATCTGTCAATAATATTCCACGAGATGGTGAATATTTACATGCCGGAATGAAATACTCAGTACCTCGTAATGTATAAAGAGGACTTTGGCGAGGGTCTCCCGGAAGAGCGTGGGCGTGAGCAGGGACTCCACCACCACTACGCGGCGCTCTTTTGGGTTCACCAGGACATGCCTGAAACATTTTCACATACAGTATTTTAGTTTGATCCAATTTTGCCGGACCACAAGCGAGACTGCCACATGCCCCCTGTAATGTTTTATAATTGTAACTAACAGATGTTATAATACATACACATTATAGTGTTGCTATTAAAGATATATTAGTTTGACAATTCAATAAACAATTCACTAGACATGGGGTAAATAAAATTAATCAAGAATTTTTCAAATTTTACAAAAAGCTGCAATAAATTCAAAAAGTTATGAAATTCCTAAATTATAGTACCCATTTATTTTATTAGTTTTATTACAAGACTGATTTTTGTTAATTCACAGCTGTTTGTTGACAACCTTCCATTAAGTACAACATTAATGCTCATATAAAATGAATTCAATATTTACAGGTGTCAGTTATCAAACTTATCTATCTTAAATAGACACAACAAAAGTGTAAGTTTCATGTAATGTAAATGTGTAACTGCACCTAAAATATAACAAATGGAGCATATGAACAATATTGTCATAGAGTTCCTGTGGTGAGCTGTAGTCGTGCAGTCGCTTGTACCGGCGCTCCGCTGGGCACCAGAACTCTGAGCGAACGATGCAGCGCGGCGCCGCCTCGCCCGTGAACCCAAACCTGCAATTACATTAAACATTATTTTAACATTTGTTGCTGCTTATGTTGCAATAATCTTTGGTACAGATTTACATGAACCAGAGATGTGTCTAGTAAAACATTGAAGTAATTCAGTTGTTTGCAAGCAGTCAGCATCAGAGCAGGGATATAAAACAAGGAAACGAAAAAAATTAAAGGGTGTGCAAGTTACATTCAGCGGCGATTTTGATGCTTTACTTCATGCTTATTTAATGAATTTTAACAAATAAAACACTTAATACTTAGTGTAGTCCGTGCCAAGATCCAAGACGACTGCTTGTTTTTCTTGAATAAGAGCAATGCCTTCGTAGAGCGCCATGACTTTGTGATACGATTTCAACTTTGTTCAGAAATTTGATGGCATTTCCTCTTTAAATTGAAACTGTTAAAAACAAAGTTTATTGGTAAAATTTTGTTATTATTATAACTTCAACGACTGGCGAGCGACTGTGACAGACGACATACATAAGCAGTGAGCAAAGAGTATAATAAGTATACTATAGCATATGGCAGTGAGCAATGTCGCTGACGCATGCTTGACTTTTGACTTGTCAAAATGACAATGACATTTCAG